CCAGGTAACTGTTCCCCTTCCTTCCCAGCCAGAATGAACATTCCTGAGGCTGATTTCTGATAACTGTGGAAGAACTTTTATACCTCTCCCTGTCAGCTTTGGGAGGGGGTGATCAGAAATGGATGATGACTGTTTTTTCTCTCCCTGCTTTTATGCTGTTCTCAGGGTGAACACTTTGGAACCACTGAAGCCACAGAAGCTTTTTTTGCAATGACCAGATTATTTCAATCTAATGATGTGAGTACCTGGTGTTTGCCACCACTTGCTGCCTCCTTGCTTTTGCCTGGATTTGCAGTCATTGCAAACCAGTTGGGTGTTGGGATGTGGGAGGAGGGTGAGGCAAGTTCTTCAGGGAACAAGCTCTGCACAACAGGTACCTACTGGAGGCAATTTTGTGGTTTGGAAACAAATATCTGAGTAATAACACAGTTACTGCTGCAGGTTGGTTTTGGTGCTGGTTTTTGGGGTTTTTTTTTAAGTGGAATTACTGTTGTAGAGAATGTGAACAAAGCCTTAATATACAAATCAGTCTAATTTCGTTACTCTTTGTCACACTTGCAAATAATCCTCATCTGCTTAACTCAAAATAGAATTTAAAAGTTGCCTGTAGGTGAAATTCTCTGGAACAATTCACTCTACTCGTGAGTCAGCATGGAGTCAAGGGATGAGAACATCCTAAAAATGCTGGATGAAGCTCTGGATTGTGCCCAATGTCAAGTCCTTCTTTGCTCTCTTTTACAGAGAGTGTAAGAACTCAGAGGAGTGTGCTTCATGTGATGGGTTTCATTAATTTGTGTTAACAATGAACTGGCTCTTCAGGTTTTTATGGGGACTGAGGCAGGTTGTGTGTGTAGCTGCTGAAAAATGGAGTGTAAATTTTGGCAGTGCAGAGTGTTTGAGACCTTTCTCATATCTTTATTTTACAAAATTATTTTTTTTAATGTAAATATGGAATTTGCTTTCAAAGAATTGAAGTGTCTTTGCATGTTCCTATTTTTCACAATAACATAGATCAGAGGGAGTTTGTTTTAAAGCTTTTAATTGGTTTTAAAGCTCTTATAACATTTCATGGTGTTAAATCTCATATTCATCTCCTGTTTTTTTTGGTTACTGGGAGTAAGGCTGTTACCAATTATCAAACATAGTTTTACTTGTGTGCTTACAACTTTGTATACAAGTGGTGCTCTATTTAACTTTCAAAGCTGAATATTTAAATAAGTTTCTTTCACTTTTAAAACCTGTAGGAAGTGTTTGTTCATCGTTGCCACTGAGTGTAATGGTTTTCTGCTCTACTCTTT